CGGGAAGCTGGTGCACTTCTCTTGCATAATTTTAAACGTTTACTGGTGCATGGCAATTACGAGGAAGGATTGTTTACATACATGTATTTTTCTCAGTAACTATGAGTCTTTATCATGTGTCTATAGATATCTTTTACAGGCAAGACCTGATTTTTATTTACAGTAATACAAGGCGAGCGGTGAAGTATTAACATTTTTTAGACAGATGTTACAATAAAACATCAACTGACGAAGATTTTAGGTTATTGCTTAAATAGAAGGCAGGTGAGCGTTCTCTATGATTAATGAGTGAAATTTCGAGTCCTTGAGGAAATTGAGGCAAATCATGAAATTCCATTTTCTTCCCTATAGGTAAGAAATGTCATTTTTTCATAAAAGGATAACGTCTCCGGAGTATAACTTCAATGTAAATTATTTTCTAAAACTGTTAGTATAAAACAAACTAAACAGATGACTAATGAATACTCATTGTTAAACATTAATTACCATGCGTAGGTATCATATGAATGACCAAATATAACTTTATTATTTCCCTGCCTTATTGGTTTGACTTCAGGTCCAAGAGCTTCTGATCCCTTGCCGTGTGCAAATTATAAATACCTTGCACATTTCATACCTGAGTGTCATTCAATTTTACTATCCATTTCATACAGATTGAGGCTCATAACATTTTTCGTTTCTGGTGTTAATGTTATGGCGCTCTCCACGGATACCTTATCTCCACGAGCTTTGAGACGGAATTCGCAAAGGTTTTGTGATATACTTATATTATATTCAATTGTTATACATTTATTCGTGTTGGGAAAATGTGGAATCACATTATCACCAATTCATAGTTTAAGGTTAATTCGTAGTTAGCCTGTCAATTCATAGTTACACGGAAATTCATAGTTATTCAGTTCGTATTTTATCGGACCACGTATAGATTCAACATCGTTCTGCAAATCATCGGTGATTTTATGCGGATTGAACAAGGCCTCCCAAAGCTCGGCACTTGCGGCAAATCAAGCCGCTTCTCTTTCAACGCAGCAGACTTTCTATCTTCAGAAATTGCAAGGCGAGCACGTGTTAATGCGCAGAAAATATCGCGTATCTCTTTCAGTCATTCATGGCAATGAATATAAGACTTTTTTTCATGCATTCTCTGTAGAACTCGATGATATCAACAAGACAATATATCAAACAAATGTTTTTTTTTTGCAAGGTCACCTAGCGGCTTAATTGCTGCTCAGGCGCCACGCGTCACTGCTCACACGCAGCTATATATGGATGAAGGCGAACAAAATTTTGCTCCTCCCAAAAAATTAAAGAATAATTTTGCACGATGCTTCATAATATTTACTCTGCATGAAATCGTTGCTTGCATGGACTATAACTATGACTATAATCGGCAAATGACTATAATAGGCATCGGCAGGCACAACACAACTAATCTACATGGTAGGAGAACAATAATAAGGATCTTTCCTAACTGTTGCTGAATTGAAAAGATAATATAATTTTCATCGGAGGAACTTATAAACAAAGCTTTAAAGATGGTAAGAATTTCAAGCTCATGATTTTGCTGTATTCCAAATCAATATACAAGTACACCGTATATAGCCGCCGCATGTCGGCTAAACGCAGAGCTGTCCCAACATTGATTTATTTTTAAACTACTTCGATTTCACTCATTAACGTTCAGCGCGAATCCCCGCAACACGAAGGCATGTCACGATCGTTCACACCACAACACGAATTGCTACTAAATGAACTCAGACGATCCTGTAATAGATATGATAGTTCAACAAGCAACAAAAAATCGTGGTGTATTGCTGTGGAATGTATTTTAGAGAAAAGGCATATCCATCGCACGATACTTGTTCGTACACCAAAAGCCTTTATAGAATGACTTTTGTCGATCGAGTAATGTGGACCATGTGAAACAACGGGGCTAATATTCTTATTATTTTTACAAAATTAATTCTAATTTGACCATAAATTACGCTACCGAAAACCCCGTACTGTGAATGCTTCCGAGAAGAACAACCTAGCATTTTACTACATGCAATGTTTAGCCAACGTATAGCAGGCATTCTGTTGAATCACAAATAGAAAAAGAACTCGGCGGTATTTTTTCAGGTCTCTGGGTGGCACAAACTTTTTTGGTTACAATTTTCTGAACATGAATCACTTTTTCAATTAAATAATCGGATAGAAACCCGCGTCCAGAATCTGGACTTCAGATTAGTTGAAGATAACCAAGACACATTTGACGCAGATGTCAGCAGGTGAGCTACGTCAATTACTGAGTCATTTCATGTCTTGGGACCGTGCTATCATAAATAGTTAAAACTTCGCAAATCCACTAGCCAATCACTGAAAGCTTTTCAAGCTCAACCCACCTATCACAGACGAGAAATCAGCTACTGTGTGCACATTGGGTAAGCTTACTACGAGTACTGGAGCGAGTTCTGATGGTACGGCTCCTGACCAGCAACGTACTCCTGGAACATGCAACTGTTCACTATGTCGACGACAGCAGAGATTCCTAAGCTATGAAATAGGAATATTAAAAAACAGTTCCCTAATCTGAAACGCTTTGAAACGAAAAAAAATTCAGTTTCATATAGACAGTTCATTATTGAAACAAAAAACAATTGATGAAACAAGAAAATATTTTGTAGGCCTGGAATCTATACCAAACTTTTATTCATTTAAGAATAACTCAGAGTCATCAATCTGTATGTAGTTGACCACAATAATTAAGCTGACAATAAAAAAAAATAATGACGTCCCAGATTTAAGGTTCAACTTCATCATGATTTTTACAACACTTCTCTTTAACTTCACTTCTTGTTGTTTGTTTGTTTGTTTGTCTGCTACAAATCTTGTAATCAAAATTTAATAAACTTCTACTTATCCTATCGAACTGAATTTACACACTTTTGTAAAGTTGGAGACAATGCATGAATCAAATGACAAAATAAATTATTTTAAAAATTAAAAAAAATTTCAATATAAAAAAATGAAAAAATAATTTTGTCAGCTACAAATCTTATAACTGGTATTTGAAACACTTTTACCTGTCTAATTGATCTGAAATTTTGCACACTTGTGTCAAGTTGGAGGCATTGCATGAATCAATTAACAGAATAAATAATTAAAAAAAATTTATACATTAAAAAAATTTATATACTAAAATAATTGAAAAATTAATTTTTTTCAATATTCGAAAATTAAATGAGAAATTCATTGTACATCTGTAAGATTGGATACACTGGATTCTTTGGAAGTGTTGTCGTTAAAAGGTGATTTTTAAACGTATATTTTCTAGCTTCAAGCTGAGCAGATGAACGGACAATAGCACTATAATGTGCTAGCATTTGTTTAATTATCTGACGTACGAGATCCAAGTCCCGTTGCCAAAGCACTGCTGGACGTCAGTGCAGGCAGCTTAAGAGCGCAGTTTCTCGAAGTCAAGACTTGGATATGCAGAGATCAATGCCACCTACATGCAACGCTTGAACAAATTTCGACAATCAGCAACAGTAAAAAGTAGACAGCGTGATTTTAAACAAAAATATAAGTTTTTTTAATCGCAGTTTCGGGGACTAATTTAGTAATGATAAATAAATAAAATGTCATTTCGCGCTGCTCACTCGTACTGAAACTCCTCTTGTACACACCGAAAAATCGGTGAAAGTTTACAAGTCATTCAATCAAAATTTTCATTCGATAGACACATGTTGAGAATCGATCGGCATGGGCGCGAAGTTGATGGTCAGCATGCAGCATTAATTGCACCCAACGCAGAAATCATAAGGTTGAACATACATAATACTTGCAAACGTATTTTATTATTTTTAAATACATATCACTAATTTCGAGATGAATTATATCGAGTAAAATGAGACACTAGTTCGTCTGAACAGGGCAGAACGATTAAAAATACACTGCGCATTGCGCAATATAAAACTTCGTTGGTCAAGAAAAAACGTGGAAATAACAAATAAGCAATAAATTAAATAATATTAAAAAAAGCTAAAAAAATGTACATTTTAGATGCAACAAAGAGCCAGACCAACGAGCTAATAGAGTAAATAGACGAAAGCTACTACTTGTACTACTAAAGAGCTACGAGTCAGCCGAGGTATAGCACCTTTTCCAGTCACGCTTCATTTCCGAAACAAGGCAGCTCATGCCGCGCTGAAGGCAGAACTACGACAATGAAAGTGCAAAAACGCACCTCAAATTGAAATGAAAGCCCCTTATGTATCCTCGCTGCTCCTTCCAGTATCCGGTCTTGTCCGACGCAGGCATATCCTTAGTAAATATCGACAAATATTTAGTAAAGTATCAACATGCAAAAAACGGAAGCATCGTTCACATGCTTCTAAAAATTCCCTACGTTGCTGCGGACGAGGGGTCAGAAATGTAGTGTGACCAGCAGGCTCCATACAATTGTTGGAGATACACGATAGAAAAAAAATACGCAAGTAGGTAAAATTAAGGTCAGGTTACTTTTAAACGAGTTATGGATGAAACTCTCGGAATGGAAGATATTGAAAATACACCGCGGTCAAGGTATGGAAGAAGAGGTAAAAGGAAAGAATCAAATTAAAAAGGTTGTTTCGATTACATTGTCTCTTTAAATTAGTTCCCACAATGAAAGATGTTTTCATTGTAGATTCGGACAAGCATTTTTGCTCAAGATTTAACCCGGCTAATTTTTGCGATGGCCTAGGACCTACCTAGGTAACTCTAGCCAGTTCATTTACCTACCTACGTAGGTAGGTTACTAGGTAGGCCGAGTAAATTAATACATATTTGTTTGAGAATTAATACTGATCAATATTTCATATATAAAAAAAATTATTAATAAAAGAAAACATGGTAGTTCAAAATAATCGGGGAAACCTTTTTTTTTTCGAGAAAAATTCTACTACTGAAGGACATACCTAAGTTAATCCACACAGAATTTAACATAAAATTTCAACAAAGATCGTCAATCTACTCACCATATCTACGTGAAGTTACACAAGGTATCCCAATTATTATACCATGTTACTTTGTTGGAAATTGGAATGACAGGCACGCGCTAGCACAGGACTTTGATGGAGTGTCAAGACCTAATTCAGAGGGAGAGCACAACGCACACCTCACACCTACACAACTCGTGCTACACTGATGACTGAACCATGGATTCCTGAACAAGCCACGGCTCCGCCGGGCTGTCCCGCCGTGCACCGGCCTCCAGCTGGTCCAGAAAAAACGACGGTAAAAACATTTATTCACATAAAGGCAATTGACACAGAATGATATTAATAATGAAGTCTAATCAAGAACATACATCGTGTTCTTCTCAATCAATTCTCAGGTCTAGAGGTAAGTTCATATTTTTTTATTACGAGGGTTAATGTTGTCCATACTTGCATATTGATTGTATTTATACTCAACGGCTGGAATAATGCCGCGCAGTGCTTAGCAAGCATTTGTGTTACCTGTGCATCGTAGTCGTACCAAACCATGAGGTTAAAATTTATGTTTTTTTAATGAAATTGGAGAAAAACATTGCGTGTGCGAATATTTTTTTCATGGAGAAACTAATTCCAAAGTTTATGATCCCGGCCAACATTTCTACGGGCGGCTTTCCGTCTTGTTTCAGGCACCCAGAATAATCAATCAACCTACTGCCTACTGGATGCATTTAAACGTAACATCATTCATGTATTTATAACAACATTATCGAACTGATTGAGTTCGATAAGATGTCACATTAGAGACTTATAATAAAATTTACTTTACTAGGAAAAGTCCCTTTAAGGCCATGTACTGTCCGGCGTGCCACACGTATCGGTGTTCGGACCGACATCATTCCTAATTTACCTCAATGACTTTGTGTGAGCAATCAACGTCTGAATCATGCAGAATTTTGCCGATGACACGCTCCTGTACTCCCACAGCAGATTTTGGCTTCACTCACTACGTCTGTCACGGAAAACCTATCTCCTCCTACAGTTTTCAAGCTACAGCAATGAGACATACACCATTCGATTCGTAAGGAAATTACCTAAAAATTAGGGTAGTCGGTCCCCTTAAAGAAACTGAATGACTGAGTTTTCTCTAAGTAAAACTCAAATTTGATGTCTGTACAAATTAATTCAAATTCAAGCTCCCCGCGACGGATAATCATATCACAATTCTCGTTTACTCTTCTACAAAATTTTAACAGTTTCATGAGCATCGCACATATATTTTGAAAATTCTTTGTCATAGCAGCTTCATTTTGAGGGGAGCATGTACGTCAAAATCGAAAATTTAAACTTTTCCGGTTTTTGAGCTCATTTTAAAGATATCCCAAATTCATTTTTGTTCGTTCATTCGTTCGTTCACGACAGCCGTCGAAGCGCACGTAAAACCAATACCTTCAATTAATGATCACAAATTTAAGTTTGTTGGAAATTTTCATCTTGAAAATCAATCTCCTCCTATGATTTTTAAGTCATAACATTGAAAGATACATCATTAGATTCGTAAAGACCTGATCTAGCGTGCATCCGCTCACTTTTTTTATATATTTTTTATTTTTGTTCGGATTATACAGTATATTGAAAAAATGGAGGGGGGAGGGGTCGAAATTGAAAAAAATCAGAAAAATCACAACAAAAATTTTTAAAAATATAACTCAGTACTAACTGCAGTGAGTGACAGAGAGCGCATTTTCTCGTCGACGAAAACGTGAAGTCACGGACGGACAGACAGACAGGCAGACACACAGACAGACGGACGGACATGGCAAGCACAATAGTGCATTTTTTCCATAAATGAGAAAATGCGCTAAAAAGAGATCGGAGGATCGCTGGATATGGTCTTTACGAATCGAGTGATATGTTACTCTATGCTGTAGCACGTTATATGAATGGGGAGATAGATTTTCAACGTACTCTTTTATATGTACCACGTTTTACAGGTTTTATATATAATACCATAAACCACAGTATATGCCTTTTTCTACGAATTTCTCGTTTTCTTTCATTTTTTTCGAAAAATTTATGCGAACAAAATCTTAGTCTTAGATTTCTATTTATTTATGTGAACCAAGTTTCAAATGACCCGTCAGTAAATAAAAAAAGTTTTTTGACGTACATGCTTCCATTAACTCTCTGCCACACATGACATAGACCTTGTAAGTTACTGGTTCGCATGTAATACTTTTGCTTTCGTAAATTGTGGTAATGTGAATATATGGAAATCTGTTAATGGAAATATAGGCAGGTATCCTGTGTTAATGGAAATATAGGCTGGTATCCTGTGTTAATGGAAATATAGGCTGGTATCCTGTGTTAATGTCTTTGCGTTTCCGACTAATTGTGACCCCAACATTTAATTTTGTTTCTTTCTCGAAACTTTCTACGTCTATGGGACTGAATTTGCATAGTCCACTTTAGGGTTCTGCTTCATTGGAGTTTAACTAAATTAGTTCAATGAACTTCATTGTAGTTCGTTTCAATTGATGATAATGATACTGGTATAATAATTTCAACTATATGTGTTAAACATTCCATCAAATTTTTGTCATTGATAAGTATTACATTCAACATTTATGTATTGAACAACGGTTAAATCTCTTAACAACTTGAGCTTTATTTTCGTTCGCAGATGCAAAATACTTCTTAACTAACTCGTGTGTTGATTTGTTGGTGAATTTGAAACATTTACTTATTTGAATTCATTTGATTTTGTTCGAGAGTGCCAACAAATTTTGCCTGGATAAATTGTTCCTTATGAATGTGTGAGAATTAAAACAAAATACAAAAATTCTAAATTCTAAAAGCAATGTATATTCCGGGCTGGGGCATTTGGGATTCATCCTGGCGCACAAGATTTACGATAAAAAACTTAAAACGAATTTTAAGTTTTTTATCGTAAATCTTTAATATTCAGTCGAGACACTTTCACCTATTTTTATTTACGAATTGAAAGACTGCCATCATGCACGAGATATTATAAAACAAAATAATGTTATTCCTGCCATCATGCTCGAGATATTATAAAACAAAATAATGTTATTCTTGCCATAATGCTCGAGATATTATTAAAAGAAAATAATGTTATTCATGCTTCTCATGCCAAGCTACAGCGCTATAAGATATCATTGAGAAGCGACCACGAGACTGAATCGAGCTACATGCAGTCCCAGCTCAGCGCGGATTTGTTACAGTCGGACAACTCTGGATTGGGATTTAACTTGCCCGTATTCTCATCTTCGAATATAGAAATATTATATCGGTTCCCTGAATAGCCAGTATTTGTGAGTGTATGTATGGTACTATTAAATTATACGTCGGCATTTAATCTGAAGATTTCGTAATTTTAAACTCCTGTTTATATGATATATGGCATTACCAGAACTATTTATTAAAACTGATAGAATAGAAGTGTCGGCGTTGAAGACATAGGCCCATGGCCTGTTGCCGATTCTTGAACTTTTCGTGACTTGATTCACAAGGGATCCGGCCTTTGGAACCCGATCTTTCCATAACTGACGATTGATTGAGATAGCTGCTGGACTTATTGAGATAGCTGCTGGACTCTGGATAACTTTATAAAGAATTATTACGCTAGTCTTTCCATGTACAGAAACAGCCCATGCATGTTTACTGAAATATACTTTAACAGGTCAAATGAATTTGCCACGAAATTGATTATCGAGCTTTGTTACTTAGACTCTTCTAGTACCTAATGAAATTTGCTTTCATTGGTTTTGAAAAGTATACGTTTGCTGTGATTCTAAGTGACCTAATAGGTAAATTATTCTAAATAATAAGTGACTAACCATTCACATGAATACGTTCATCAATCTCCGCATAACTGCACTTAGGAAGTTAGCGCAATGCTCTTAAATTTCTACCACTCACATCAGCGAGGGAGTGGAATTTTACATTCTCTCTGAACTCATGGGCCTGCAGAATTTCCAGCCTACAAATTTTCTTTACATTACTCATAATAAATCTTGCACTAAACTATAACATGACGTGGTAACGTATATGTACAAAACGCAATTAACTTTAACTCAATTTTGAATGATATATTTTTGGTCATTTACACATTTGTAAACTCTTTGCTGATTATTTAAGAAAACCGTAGCTTACAACAACTAATCTTGATGCCTAATTTAACGCTGACCTTGCTCATCATGACCTTGCTCATCATGCTCATCATCCTTGCTCATTTTAAGAAATATTTTCTTGCTCAATGGATTTCCGGCAAGTTTGGTGTATACCCAAATCAAGAAATTCATGTCGAAGCGATTCAGTGAGGTTGCTATAGGCCCAGTTTAAATTCAGCTGTGAGCTCCTATCCCCTTGAAATTGTGAATAGATAGGTTTTTATGCCCTATTACTTGTAAATTTAGGTTCTAATTGTGTTCTGTGCTTTCAATTGTATTAACTTGTGACTTTCTATGTATGTTCTGGATTCTACGAACTGACGATGGAGCTGGACTCCGAAACGTTTTCTATAAAGATATGAATTTTTGTGGACTATTCTTTGCTTTTAAATTTTTAATGAACGAAATTATATATGGATTCACTCTCATAAAAAATAACTGGTCATATTGTCCAAGTGGGTCATAGTGACACACGTTCTGCAATAAGCGCTGATACGTCCTTTTTTCCGCGCTGAACTGAGTCAGGATGACCCAAACAGGAGCCAAAAGTACATTGCTATTTGGACGATGTCTCACTCATTTATCTGAGTGTATGAATAGCTGTTTCAGCGATTATTAGGCCGTAGGCCTGTTGCCGATTCTTAACGTCGCAGAACATTCACAGCATTTTGCGGTCTCGAACTCGCAACTCACTGCTTCAATTCTGCTTTGCTTAACCGCCCGGCCTGCTCGCCGATTCTGACCAGAAACTGGCGCACAGAGCTGGGATCGAACCCGCGCCTCTCTGCGCCAATCTTGGTACTCTGAACTGTAACCACTGGGCCACCTTGCCCATGTTGGGGTTGGGTTGGAGCGTCGGTGAGGGAACAGTCGTGGATCAGAGGCAGCGGCAGAGGGCGACGCTGAAGGAGGATAAACTGGAGACTTGGGAGTGAAGATAAAATTCACACTCTCGAGTCAGACCATATTTGTGCACCAGACATCTACTAGTTCAAATAAGGTTATAGCCTTCCGATTTCTTTAGCGTCATTTGATTACCTTCCAAAATAACCTTGCGTGCCGAAATTGCAGCGCTTGTAGAATCCGTGATATGATGTAATTTCTCAAACATCACCATGGGTATTACATCAATTGACTAATATTTTACAAGGGGTCGACCACTCAACTGATAAATAAGTCTCTAAAGCCCCAGAGCTATCAGAAAAGGCTAAAAAAAGAAAGAGATGTTTAATCGGATATTTGGATTTGGATATTTAATCGGATTTGGTCTGGATTGGATTTTTTGGAGAAGCCATGTGATAGCCCTTGAAAAGAGTTTTGAAATGAGCCTATAAACTTGTTTATGAAATGTTTCATGGTAAGAAGTTATGAATGAAAAACGTTCGAAATCGTCCCTAGTAGCCCCGGTTGACGGTTATCGTTTCTTGGAAAAATGACCACCCTGACACTGTTCTTTGGATACCATCTATAGAAGAGCCGCATTGATTTGTAGTGATCTCGGTAGTATTGTTAGAATATGATAATATTTAGACATCTTGCTAACTTAATCCTGTACATATTGTCATCCGTAACCCCTTTAAATGTCAGTGACAGACTATGTGTATAATAATAGAAACAATGTTCAGTAACAACTGCCAAAGATTACAATCACTGTAAAAGTCTTCCATCTATCTACACGCCGAATTTCGTATATTTACATAATCGGGATAGTGGATACTAGGACTAAATTTTCTTGCTAATGATTTACGATGTCCACCATCGTGACTTTTTGAAATTTCCCCATTATAGTGCCCTTTTATTCGAGTTTCAGATTCCTTTCTGCGTGTTACTTTTTTTCATTTAAAATCGAAATGACATTGAAAATCCGTCAATCGAAAAACTTTTGCTGTAATAGGCACCTCACGCAAAATAGTTTTTACACAGGGAGTTATCCATAGAAATTGTGGCTGTGGGAGATTATACCGCTGTGTCAGAATGTTGCTGAGCTCAGAAGCTCAACTCAGGTCATCCAATCGACATTTCTCCGAACTCACCGGCGAACTCAAACGTAAAAAAACATAATTGCACAACTCAATAGCTCGTAATTCTCTCAGATCCAAACAGATCTCTGCATGAAAGTTCAAACATAATTAAATGATAGAATACGGCGCGGCACAATTTACTGCATATTTTGCAAACATTCGTTTTATTTGAACGTAACTTGTGTACAACTCAACTGATCATAACTTCATCAATTCCAAACGGATGTGCATGAAATTTAAAACATAACTTATTAGTAACTTTGCGACGATGTCGGCGTGGTCACAAATTTTTCTTGCTTGGTTCTAAACTAAACTAAAATTACGTTAAGTTCGGTTAAAATAGAATATTTTGATATTGACTAGGCTAGGCTATTCTTTAAAACATCAAATGATCTTTACCTATTCGGCAGCATAGCTTATAAGAGTATAAACAATCCCACCATACCATTTAATCGAAAGTTTCATTTCAATCAAGCAACATAAAAATTTGTGATGATGCCTACCTCGGTAAGGTGTTATCAATTATTTATATTTTAGATTTCATGCAGATCCGTTCAAAATTGCAGGAGTTATTCGCTGTTTGATTCTGCATTTGTTGCATCTTTCGTTTTAATAAAAAAACGATAAGTCACAAAATTTTTATTTGTTCCTGCTGCGACGTATTACTTTTTGTGTCAAATTTCATGCAAATTTCGACAATTTACGAGACGTCATAAAAGTTGCGCTTCTGCGTTTAAATAAGTCACATGACTCTCTTGTGCTCGCCAGGTGTCCTGTCTCCAAGGTACCCGGTTTTCCAGGTGTTAGGTTACGCATGACAGTAGCTTTTGATGCATGCTTTCCCTTGACATTTAATTGCCCAGAATAGTTGTTTGCTCATGACACCCGCTAGTCAGACACGGCATTCATACAGGGTGCGGCGCGGGAACTTACTTATTTGATCTTCCGATCTCGTCTGACAAAATGTATTGAACAGCATGGAGGTCACCTACAAGATGTAATATTCAAGAATTAAACTTGTAAGTAAACCCAACGAAACTTTAAATGTAGCTCTTTGTAAAAAAGAAAGAATTAAAACGCTATCTTTAATACTTTTTACTTTGTGATTTTTTTAAAAGAGTAAGTTCCCACGCCGCACCCTGTAGAAAGCACATCACTTAATTCGGTGCCAAGAGCTTCGGTGATTAGATCATCTCTTTTGATGAATTATCGTCACTTGCACGGCTCAGTCAAAATTATGCAGCATGAACAGATTTTAAATATAAGAATGATCCAAATATTCTAAAAAAGAACTCTGACTACGAAAAGATATGACATTTATAGAATAGAATAGAATAGAATAGAATAGAATAGAATAGAATAGAATAGAATAGAATAGAATAGAATAGAATAGAATAGAATAGAAATGATACGGACCCATTAATACTGACACGTTGTCGCCTCCCTACTAGAAAATCTCTGATCCATTTGAGTACATTACTCTCAATTCCCAAAGACTTCAATTTACGCAACAACCGCTCATGTGGGACACTGTCAAATGCCTTGGCAAAATCGAGGTACACTGCGTCTACTGGCTATTCCTCTCTGCGTCTACTGGCTATTCCTCTATTAAACTGTTCCTCTCTATTTCTCCATAAAACTCACATGAATTCTGCATTTTTATATAATACATGGAGATACTGCTAATTTGGTTCGGATAGAATGAAAGTTTGTTTAGTATTAGTATTGCGTAAATTATTTAGAACTAAGTTCTTATGTGTGCCTAAAATGTTATATATAATCAAAATTAGTCTGGTGTCTTCCTTCTTACTTATATTATATAAACCAACATGACAGGTCCAAACCATTTATTCATTAGATGACGTTAGCACTTGCATGTCATATTTGGTTTTAGGAATAAATTTCCTAAATCTTATCTGACAAGTGGGAATTGTGATCTATCTATATATTTAGTCTTGATGAAGCATTCAAATTGAAGTGAAGTCTGAAAAAATTGGGATAAAACAGCACATTTACAATCAATAAATCTGAAGAAAATAAATTATTTTGAGCTAATGACCTACTAACTGAAAAAAATATTTTAGAATAGACGCACAATAATTCAACAAGATATAAATAATAAATATAATAATAATGTGTAATAGACAAGATACAATTTTATTTATGTAACAGGAATAAATAAAAATCAGATTGTGCACCTGTGTGTGCTCTATAACAGTGTCAAATCTAAACATAAAAATTAAATTCGTTCATATATCACCTAACTATACTTTTTCAATATATTATGTCCATCAGCACTCGAATTTTTTCTACATCATCCTCATATACAAGTTAAAGGAAAATTAAACTTACTTTTGGTATCTACGCCCAGAAACTACTATATGGCAACACTCTTCCATGTATACAAGCGCATTCTGGACAACGTTTAGTTTTGTTTTGGAAGTAGGTGTGTTTGCATATTAAAATGGCTGACCAAAACGAAATCGTAAATGCTCTAGTTTGTGCATATATTAGCGAACAAGATGAATCTCTTGGTAAAAAGCTGGCCAAGAAAATCAGTGCAGTAAGTATATTTCTTGTAGTATTGAGTGTTTAACTTTTATTGGGTTCTATCAGTATCAACCTCTTTCTGATGTTAAAGCCACGTCCCACGTGTGTATCTGTGGTATTTCATCCACGTGTTTCTCATGCTTTGTGATTTCCACTTTCATTTCTAGAATTTCTATTGTTTGGCAACGTACATAAACTTCATTTTATTTTTAGTTTGGGTCCTATTGAGATTGACTGTTACGTTACTTACGCATAGTGGCAAACCAGAGAGTTTTTTAGACTCTCCCTCAAGTTCATTTTTGAGTCCTATATGTAGACCAGTAAAGTATCCTGGATACCAGCATTATCATACTTGAGAAATTGTTTTAAATCTTGAGTAAATGAGAAATTAAAAATGAACTGATTCTAAAAAAGCTCTGGTTTGCCACTATGTACTTACGTAACAATTTCATCGTTCATGCTCATGAACGCTGGCGGCAGGATGGCAGGGTGTGGCGTGGAGTTCAGTAAAACTTACTAGCTATACCTAAGTAAAAAACAGTATCATGATTAACTTATATTGCTTGTAACTTGTATGACTAGGGGTAATGGGTAAATAACTATATCAGGAGAGGAAATATTCATATATTGCATTTTCAACTCTGATGTGAATGTTTTTCATCTTTTTAATTTCTTACAAATTGACGTTTATTTGTAAAATGAGCATGCATTCTTTTAAACTTTTGAAGCATGAACAGAGCAGTGTGTAGTGTGTACTCATCCAGTACTAACAGTCCTCATAAATCATGGTCCTAAATCCTAATTTCAGATATCCTCTTCATTTCTCATTTGTAGTAGGCCTACTACAGTACCTACTACCTACCTAGTCTGGAAAAGTCCTATTTTTGTCTGAAATATTGCGGCTCTAATATCATATAATTTCAGTAGGTATGAAATCTCGCGGCTCGAATGTCATAAATTTTTGTTTGATTAAAAAATAATTCGCATTCGCACCTCGTAAATGGCTTTTCATGGCCGAGATATGGAATTCACGGCTCGGTGAAATAGAATCACGACTCGTAGAAATGGAATCACGGCTGGCAAATCCATAAAACCACGGCTCGAAAAATTCAGTCGCGGCTCGCCAAGTAGATATATTCCATACTAGCAGTACCTACTAGCTAGCTAGCCTAGTTGATAATGTAGATTTGGCATGTGGATGTAGAAATGAGAATAAATGAGGTTTTCTGTGCTTTGCACTAGTTTTCCCTTCTTTGATAATACCATATCCAGTGGACCAGTTTTCATCAACAGAAACTATTTTTTCCATTTTATAGGTACCTAACACTTTTAAAACTTTCCCACAAATCACAATGCCTTCCTTTTTTTCTTTATTGTTAAGGTACTGCATTTTGCACCATTTTAATTGGGTTGAGTGAATTAATTCACTAAAACAAACCAAGATTGTAAAAAACATAGCTGAAACAAAAAGAAATATTTTATTGACAACCATCATATTTTTGTTAAGCAGAGCCTTAGCTAACCAAGGTGGTACTGAAAATGCATTTGCTAGTGGGTCCCATATTACTCTGGGCGTGGGGGGGGTGTCCAAAAATACCTGGTCTTGCAGAAATGGCTGACATTCTGTTTTAGATTGAGGTGTGCAAATTCTGTCAATTAAGTGTAAAAGCCAACACCTGTATGCAAGTTTTGTTGAGTAAAATTTTTCAAAACTGTAAATATTTATTTTACTAGGTAAAGACTTAAGCAGAAGTACCTTTTTGAAATATCTATTTCTAACTTTTTTCAGAGATTTTTACAGCTAGTAAATGTACAATTTCTTAACTTCCTTTATGCTACCTAGATAGAAGAAATATTGAAGTTTATGCCACTATTTCTATTTTTTTACAACACTTCTCTTTAACTTCACTTCTTGTTTGTCTGTCTGTCTGCTACAAATCTTGTAATCGAAATTTAATACACTTCTACTTATCCTATCGATCTGAAATTTTGCACACTTGCGTAAAGTTGGAGACAATGCATGAATCAATTGACAAAATAAATAATTTTTGAATAATTTGTTTTTTTTTTCAATATTAAAAAAACTGAAAATAATTTTGTCAGCTACAAATCTTATAATTGATATGACACACTTTTACCTGTCCAGTAGATATGAAATTGTGCACACTTGTGTGAAGTTAGAGGCAATGCATGAATCAATAAACAGAATAAATAATTTCGAAAAAAAATTTATATATTAAAAAAATAGCAAACTTATTTTTTTAATATTCGTAAATAAAGTTAGAAATTCATTGTAAATCTGTAACATTGGAAGCATTAGATTCTTTAGAAGTGTTGTCTTTAAAAAGTAATTTTTAAACGTATATTATTAATGTTTCAATTAGTTTTGCTGCTATAATGTTTTAATTCCCTGACAAAAGACTGTCTCCATTTAGCCCCCCCCCCATCTTTTAATACCCCCATTTGACTATACTTGTTCATATAGTGTACCTACTAATGTAGCTCAAGTTATATTTTGAAAATTTGAAACTGAGCATATACCAGTTGGGATTCATCTTGAATATAGCTCACATTCTTATTATTTCACCTTGCCAGCCAACAAACTGGCTAGTGGCTGGGTTTAGACACCCGGTTGATAAAAAGTAGTTTTTTGAGAAAACCTCATGCATTTAAATATTTTGATGGCTACCAGCACTATATGTTGTACTAGCATGTCTGTCCCAAACAGCAATGAGCACCATGCTATATGCTTTGTATAATTGAACTTGTAAAAATATCACAAAAATTGGACCAGATTCAGACATTGGAAAGCTTTGAATAAGTATATGCAATGGGAATAGTAAAACCTTTAATTTTGTAATAATACAGTTCATACTGTAAGAAAACAGAATTCCTTCAGACTCTAGTGACTTGTGTCTTGAAGACTCGAGTGACTTGTGTCTTGAAGACTCGAGTGACTTGTGTCTTGAAGACTCGAGTGACTTGTGTCTTGAAGACTCGAAGACTCGAGTGACTTGTGTCTTGAAGACTCGAGTGACTTGTGTCTTGAAGACTCACGTGACTTGTGTCTTGAAGACTCGAGTGACTTGTGTCTGGAAGGCTTGAGTGACTTGTGTCTTAACCCTTTCGTGACGGCAATGTATTTTACAACTTTTTACTCGTATTTTTCTGCAGAATCGTCATGAACATGGACCGAATGTTGCATCTTCGTAAAAAATAATTAAATATATGTTAATGGCAAAAATTATATATTTTGGACTAGAAAATCCCGGTAGTATATGGTTCCAACTGAGGTGACACAATTTGCGACATCACTGATTTTGATAAAAAAAAAATATTTTTGTAATATTTTTTGTTAGTAAGTTGAATAACATCACAAACTTCCTTTGGCAAACGTGTGTAATAGCTTATATAATAACATATTCCAAAAAGAACAAATATTAATATTCCTTTAGATTGGACATATGTAGGCGCAGGAGTGTTTCTAATATGTCCCTGTAGTTAGCTATGCCTTGAATTTAGCAATACATGCAAGTTATAGAGTAAATCGTTGAGTGGGACGTCACAGTCCCGTCAGTCAATTACTTTTGAGTTGACATGGTGGAGGAGTGTTACTCATGTGTCCCTGTAGTTAGCTATGCCTTGAATGGTTTGCTGTATGCAAGTTATGGAGTAAAACATTGAGTGGGACGTCACAGTCCCATCAGTCATGAAAGGGTTAAAGACATCAGTCATAAAGGGTAGTGACTTGTGTCTTAAAGACTTTAGTGACCTGTGTCCTGGAGACTTGAGTGACTTGTGTCCTGAAGACTTGAGTGACTTGTGTCCTGAAGACTTGAGTGACTTGTGTCCTGAGGACTTGATTGACTTGTGTCTTGAATTGAAAACTTGAGTGACTTGTGTCTTGAATTGAAGACTTGAGTGACCTGTGTCTTGAAGACTCTAGTGACTTGTGTCTTGAAGACTAGTGACTTGTGTCTTGAAGACTCTAGTGACTTGTGTCTTGAAGACTCTAGTGACATGTGTCTTGAAGACTCTAGTGACTTGTGTCTTGAAGATTCTAGTGACTTGTGCCCTGAAGACTTGTCTTGAAGACTTGAGTGTCCTGTGTCTTGAATACAAGTGACCTGTGTCTTGAAGACTCAAGTGACTTGTCTTGAAGACTCGGGTGACTTGTCTTGAAGACTCGAGTGACTTGTCTTGAAGACTCGAGTGACTTGTCTTGAAGACTCGAGTGACTTGTCTTGAGACTCGAGTGACTTGTCTTGAAGACTCGGGTGACCTGTGTCTTGAAGACTCATGTGACCTGTGTCTTGAAGACTCGTGTGACCTGTGTCTTGAAGACTCATGTGACCTGTGTCGTGAAGACTCGTGTGACCTGTGTCTTGAAGATTTATGTGACCTGTGTCTTGAAGACTCGTGTGACCTGTGTCTTGAAGACTCGTGTGACCTGTGTCATGAAGACTCATGTGACCTGTGTCTTGAAGACTCGGGTGACCTGTGTCATGAAGACTCATGTGACCTGTGTCTTGAAGACTCGGGTGACCTGTGTCTTGAAGACTAGTGACCTGTGTCTTGAAGACTAGTGACCTGTGTCTTGAAGACTCTTGTGACATGTGTCTTGAAGACTCTTGTGACATGTGTCTTGAAGAAATTAGTCACATGCATCAATTTCCCTAATATTTACTATATTCATGTTAATTTCCATTATTCTATTGGTGATTTATTGCTAAAAATTTTGATACTAATCTATGTATTGTTCTTCAACAGCCACAGTTGCCGTCAGGTTCTCCTGATGTTCGAGAAATAGTACAACACTTCATGAAGTGAGTGCTTTTCTTAAGGACACGTTTGTTATTGATAATATTATAGCATATCTATTTCACTAATAATAAAAATTTTACTAAAATTTTCACTATTTTAGTGAAATTCACTAAAATTTCACTATTTTAGTGGAATTCATTTTCACTATTTCACTAGAAAAAATGTTTGTTCTCCAAGTTTCATTGAAATATATTGAACAGTCTCTGGTAATTTATTAATGTCAATAATGATTTGAATAATTTTTGCTTCTTGCATTATGTATTCTAAAGAAAATAACAATGTTATGTTCTTGCAATATTTAGTTCGTCACTTTTAGTTTGGCACTTACTTATCTTTGTTTTACAGAACTGCCAGCAAGAAACGCAGAGAGAGCCTTGATTCCCTGAGCTCACCTGCCAAGAAAACAAAAGGCACTCCTGGAGGTATTTTCTGGCCTGGAAAAGCTTAATGTAGTAATTTTGTATCTTGTGTAAAAAGTATTTCAGCTTAGCTTTTGTTCATCTGTTGTTTCAATTTCAAGAGGTTTTTGGATGTAGCTTTTTCTTTCAGAATATGCTCAGCAATTTTGGTCAGTCTGGAGAACCTTTTGGTCTGGAGAACCTTTTTTCTACTGAATTAATTTAGTGAATAGTTATAATCAGCTGATAAAATTGCCGATAGAAGTTGTGTTAACACGTGTTGAATTGTTATTTTTCTCACGAGTTATAATATTTCAGAATTTTATAGCAGAAATATTTTTCTAGCTATTATTTCATTGAATTAAATCCAATCAAAGTTGTACTAATCAAACATGTTAGAGGATTTTGATAGGCTGATGAATGAGCAGATGGGCCTTGATTATTTTTGTATTAAGTGAACATGAGTTGCACTCAATGAAAAGGAGGCATGATGATCTTTTTGCTTCAAAGATGTCAATAAAGGAGATTATACACAAGCTTTGCTTATAGATCTTATTGGAATGTTGGATCCTTTGAATGTAACACTGCAAATCTAGTCTTTGTAATTGAAATTGAGCATTCTTCATCCCCCAATTTTCGTCATTAGCTCAATGGCTGGCAAATCTGCTTGAAGCTTGTTGGTAATTTTTCATAATAGATGAATTTTTAATTTTCAACAATTTCTATTTGCAGGCAAATCTGGGATACCAAATGGCACTCCCACACATGCCCCCAAAGCTGGTGAGTGATAGTTTACTCTTATGCTCAAATTACTTGAGGTTTGTTTTCTATTAGAATTTTGGCAAGAAATGAAGATTGTCATGCATGGATATTATTTGGTTGATTGCAAAGTACATTCTGTTGTAAATTGGCAGTTCTCTTCTATTGGTTTGGTCATGGCTCCTGAAAATTTTTAAATGTGAAATATGTTATATGGTCTGTTGATAACTTACTGAGTGACTGGAGCTGGACATTCTTTAATATGTATATATAATTGTAAATGAGACAAACTTGATGGTTTTAATCCATGCCATATATAAAAAATTCCTGATCTGCTCTTTGGTGAAATTGAATGAATATTAAATGAATTTTTTACAGTGAATGGAAACTCAAAATCTAAAGAAAGCTCATCAGAAGATGATTCCAGTGACGAAGAAGAGAAAAAGACTCCATCAGCCAGCACGAAGCCCCAGACAGTCAAAGTTGTGAGACCAACAGCTCCTGCAAAGGAGAGTTCTTCAGAGGAGGAATCAGATTCAGATGAAGAAACAACCCCTGCAGTCAAAAGTCCTGCCGTAAAAACCCCTGCCGTAAAAACCGCTGCCGTAAAAACTCCTGCCGTCAAAACCCCTACCACCAAGTCTGCCCCTTCAAAGGAAGAATCATCTTCAGAGGAAGAATCTTCTGATGAAGAAGAGGAAGTTAAGCCTACCCCCAAAGCTGTAGCCAAGAAACCTGTTGCCGCCAAGCCTGCCGAGTCCAGTTCAGAAGAGTCTTCAGAGGAAGAAGTATCAAAACCGGCTTTGAAGAAACCAGCTACCCCTGCTGCCAAGTCTCCTGTCAAAGCTGTAGCCAAGAAACCTGTTGCTGCTAATCCAGCTGAGTCCAGCTCAGAAGAGTCCTCAGAGGAAGAAGAAAAAGTATCAAAACCGGCTTTGAAGAAACCATCTACCCCTGCTGCCAAGGCTCCTGTCAAAGCCTCAGCCAAGAAAGAATCGTCTTCTGAGGAAGATTCTTCTGAAGAAGAAGAAGAAGCGAAGTCCACCCCTAAAGTTGCAGCCAAAAAACCTGTTCCCGCTCAGACTGCAGAGTCTAGTTCAGAAGAGTCGTCAGAGGAAGAAGAAAAGGAAGTTGTAAAACCGGTCGCAAAGAATTCTGCTACCCAAGCTGCCAAACCTGGCAAGAAGGAATCTAGTTCAGAAGAAACGAGTTCAGAGGAGGAAGAGCCTGCTCCAAAGAAGCCAGCTGCTGTTGCAAAGAATCCAGTTGCAAAACCTGCGAAGAAGGAATCGTCATCTGAGGAATCTAGTTCAGAAGAATCTGATGATGAAGAGGCATCTAAACCTGCTGCCAACAAGCCAGTTGTGGCAAAAAATAAGCACAACAGTTTTGATGAGCAGGAAAAATATAAGCAAACTCCCGCTCCCGAGTTCAATAACAAAAAGCGTGGGCGTGAATCCGACGGTGATAATTTCAATAATAATAAATTCTCCAAGTTTGAATCTCAAGAGTCGAACTCTGTTCCTGAGTCAAACGAATTATTTGTTAATAGGCTTGACAAATCGTTCACTAATGAGCATTTAGAAGAATATTTCAAACAGTTTGGCTCAGTAGAAAGAGCACGCGTTGCTGTGGACCGAGAAACTGGAGAATCAAGAGGCTTTGCCTTTGTCACCTTCAGCTCTCCCGCTGAAGCCAAGGCCGCTATTGCTTCCGGCAGTTGCCACGAGGTTTGTATCCTACAGTGATTAGGCTGGTCTTACCATTATTTTCAAGTTCAGTCTGCCAATACCCTTCTTAAAATCGTCAATTTGGATAATATTAGCTATAAGTAGTGCAAAATGTTTGAGTGCTTTCTGCTTTGCTTTAATGGGATGATTTATAATTAGCTTGATATCGGGTGTTGGAAAAATTTTCAGCCTGCGTTTCATTTTGCTCAGGAGTTTTCATTACTAACTGAATCGCAACATGCGCAGGAAAGATTGGAGTCAAATCTAAATTATTCCACTTTTTGTTACTCTTTTTAAATGATCATGTTTTTTTCTTTGGTCTTCACGTATAACTTTTAGTTATAGAGTTTTTCCCTAATTTGGATTCCCAGATCCTCTTGTATTCGTGCAAGTCTAGAAGATATTCTTGTAATGTTAACTCCTCCATTTCAGCTCGAGGGCTTCAGTTTCTACGCTCGTCTGAGTGAGCCTAAACCTGATGACGGCGGGGTGAGTTGACGTAACAAATCAGTATAGAACCGTTGTCTCTGAGCCCTCGGTTGCCTTCACTTTCTTCCCAGCAAGAGATTAGCATTTCGAACTCGTCATACTCCTTTATCGTGTAGAGATCAGGATGATTCCTGAACCACATGTGCTTGGTCCCCGTACAGATGTAGTATTATTATCGCGTCTGTCCTCGATGATTGATAATATCGTTGCTTCTATTTGATATTATAACTCGATTTTAGTGTCGATGGATTGGTTTATTTTTATTTTCACTACGATATTACAAGCTGAGAGCCGATTATTCTATGGTTGTAAAATGGAATGGGCAATTAGAGATAGAACAGCTGATTTCGTTTAAAGCTTGATTATTTATGCTTTTTTTAGAGAGAGATTCTCATTTTCATGAATATAACCATACCCATACTATTAGGGCTATTAATCTTTACTTTCTAGTTTGGAACTATACGGTCAGTAGGGTTTAGCGAGCATAATTTATAGCTTATAAACTTAGATTTACCGAGAAGTCTTGCATAACAAGTGGTGCTTTCTTAGCAACTTCTGCCCAAACTTGCGATGCCCCCGGTTTTCGACACGAAGCGCAGAAGAAGCGAGCCCTTTCGTCGTGTGCGCGCTGAGGAGGTGAAGGTGGACCCTCGCTTCAACAATTCTTTCACTGCAAAGGTTGGTTTCAGAAACTCCTTATCAAGCTTATGTCCCGTCAACAGAATCGTGGTGGTCGTGGTGGCAGAGGTGGTTTCCGTGGAGGTCGTGGCGGTTTTGGTGGTGGCGATAGCGACGTTAATGGTTTCCATGGTCGTGGTGGACGAGGTGGCCGTGGCGGCTTTGGTGGCCGTGGCGGCTTTGGTGGTCGTGGCGGCCGAGGAGGTCGTGGTGGCTTTGATGGTCGAGGGCGTGGCCACAGCCTGGGCTTCGGCGGCGGCGAAAACAAGAAAATCACTTTTGACTAGAGTGAGATGAGCGCCCCCTCCCCATGAACCGCTATGTCTCTAGTAAGTGGCATCGCGTATGCTTATTCTAACCTTAATTATTTTTAAATGAATTACACTACATTTGACTTGAACGTCATATCGTTTTTGATTCACCGGTCGCAGAATAAGGTGGGGAGGGTCGCGTGGGCTGCTCATCTCCACTCTGTTCATGTTCAAACTTACATTCCATAGATTATATCAGTTGATTGCATCTTCTATGAAGATGGGCATTTTTGTAAATTGAGAGATCTCGGATCATTTGAAGCTTTAGGTTAATAGCTTTATTTATTATTATTTTTGTTTTCAGAAAAGCGGAGCTTCGGACTGGGGCACGAAGGCTCACAAGGATCTCATTCACACCAAGGGCAAAGGCTTCCGTCACGAGAAGAACAAGAAGAAACGAGGGAGCTACATAGGAGGCTCCATCGACACAGGCGTCAATTCCATTAAATTCGAATAAGTACTCGAGTTACGCTTGCAAGCATTTGATTGATGATTCATTTAGAAGTTGCCTTTGCAACCTCGTGTATATCGGTCATTAATTGCCGGCTTGTACAATGGCCAAAGTGCCTCCTGATATCTAACTCGCAATCCATTCATTTGTATAGGTGCTCATAGCATATGATTGTATGTCAAAATCGGTAAGAATTTCATTTCATCTTATCGGTAAAATAGTTTAAGCAAGCCTGGCTGGTGGAGTTGACATGCTGTTAGTTCTGTTCATTCTGACGAGCCAGTGTCCTGGTGTAGGGTGAAACTGAAGCCTGCGTTGGAAAAAAAATTGAAAAAAATATCTATGTATTTCTTTGATTCAGTTTAAGGAAGCACCAGGTTTGATATGAGTTATATTTTTTTGACTTCATTCCCGTGTAAGTAGGAAGAAAATAGTAACAAGGAATAAGTTGGTTCCCGCTAATGAACCTAGGGCATTGTCGCTGTCTCAGCCTATTATCAATTTGATCTGACATTAAATTTCAATACAAAGTTAAAATCTAAGGTTGTATTTTATTTGACAGCTTTTCCGTCTGCATACCATTTCTACAAGAAATTTTCTCCTTTTGTCTTGATAGAGAAATTTCTATTATATAACTCATACACGATATTCGGATATAGGAGTTGCGGTGGTCATCCAAGTCAGTATAGCACGTTTCATTGCATTGCGTGTCTTGTACATACTCGCTTTAGAATAGGTGTGAACGTAACTGCGAAAATGGATTTGGTTAACAATGAATATAAATAATTTCTAAGGGACAAGATTTGACGGGTTACACGCCAAAAGTTGCCAGTAATTGACTTGGGAATTCTAAATTTACGGCCGAATTTCGAAGTCTCTCCTGTAGTTTGCTAATTACATTTAGTAAATGAGGATTTATTTCTATTATTTTGACGGGGTTAATTTCCTTCGACGTTGCCAAAGTAGGTTGCTAGCGATCGCATCACGAGTGAAGTGCTACAATATTTGATGAAGCCATACACCTACTACCTAGGTGTAGAAGTTACGCTACGTCACACTGAGGCACACTCCCTAAGGCACAAAGCGAACAACTGTCTTGAATTTAAGATGTGCTCATGCCGGCTGCGGCCTGAAGAGCCATTTATATTTAATACTTACCAAAAATTCCATGCTGTTGAAAAAGAGCAGAACTGAATTAAGTACAATTGATTTTCCTCTTATCCTCATGAACAACTTGGATAACGGTTTGACATGATCTTAATTTGAGCTAAAGCTAGGTCGGTCAAAAGCAATTATGAGCAACTACTACGCTCACTGTAACTACTACGACATAGTGTGGAAGATGAAGTAAATTCCATTATTGCGGTGTTAATTCCCACTCCTGTAAATCGAAATGAACAAAATAAAAATATTTGGTGCTCAAGCTATTAGAAGTTGATCATCGCAAACTGGTCTGAGGACAACCACAAGCTTTTCTCGAGTTACTTAGAAATCAGGATATGATGAATTAACGTATCTTCAGCATGATCATCGATCAATGCCTTAAATGATGCGGCAACAGTAGGTAATTAGTTGTTAGTGTTGATAAATTTATGATATTTTTTACTAGGTAAAGAATAATATAACTTTGTCAAATCCAAACCGAGCTTGGCCAAATTAAAGAAAGTAGCCATTTATTTACCGTACGCTTTTGCGGGTGTTTTCAGAATAATTGTCTGCTTCGATTTAATTAGCGCGCTAAATGCTAATTTTTCGAATTTTTATAAATAAATTGAAATCTATTTTGCCCCTAATTAATAACGCGGCTTTTTATTAACATTACCCACGCTCGTGCGAATTTTGCTGATTTTTTTTTCATTAGTGCATTGATTTTCACTAAAGGCTACTTTTTTGCAGGTTTTCCACTCCTGACTGTCAAATCGAAACCGATCTTGACTTAATTAAGAACGACGTTATTTATTGACATTCCGCTTCTTCTGTCGTTGTTATATTTATTATTATTTAATTTTGTTCGTTTAGTTTTTACGTAGAGCTCTGAACGTTCAGTAAGTTAAGGTCGGTCCACACGCTCAGTTTTAAGGCCGGTCCACACCATGGTTGAACCATGGGTCCATACGCTCAGTTTTCACAGCGATTTGTCTGCGCAGTTTTTATAAGTCGGAATGAAATCGTTGCAATTTTTAGAGCGTCCACACGGTGCCGACATATCGGAGTAGTTTGCTCAGTGTTGCGCGATCTCGCCGTGGAGACGTCTCAGACAAATTTACGGCCGGACTTGCAGCCGGTCCCCCCAAATTCGGTGAGCATGGAATATCTCCCAAAGTAATGAACGTAGCTCGATAAAACTTGGTACACGTATTCATTAGGACTTAACGGTGATGTTTAGCTCGTGAACATTTTTAGATTTTTACCTTCATTCTTGAGTTATATGACGATACGTGCCGAAATTTGCAGTGAACATGATATTTCTTCTTAACTACTGTACAGATTTGAACGAAACTTTGAACATAGAAACATAACCTCCCAACGGCGATGTTTAGCTCGCGACCATTTTTTTTATCAGATATATAGTATAACTCGTAAACGAAGGCAGAATCGAAAAAAATTGTTTAGTGCTGAACATCATAGGTCCTAATAAATACGTGTACCAAGTTTTATCGAGCTACGTTCATTACTTTGGGAGATATTCCATGCTCATCAAATTTGGGGAGACCGGCCGTAAATTTGTTCGAGACGTGCCATGGAGAAGGCAGTACTTTGATTAATTTTGGCATTGTGCCTTGTTAAAAAAGATATTGGATCATTTAGGGAATGCGAGGAATCAAATTACGAGAGAGATGGCTTGTAGATGATGTCTTTTTCTCCAGGTCCGGATGGAATCGATTTTTTAATCGAAAACGCGGGCGAAATCGCGAAAATTCACACGGGCTAGACATTACCTTTAGGTTGTCATGAATCTATATACCAAGGTTCATTGAAATGGGTTCAGTAGTTTGGAAGATATTCCATGTACGATGAATTTTTTGAGACACGGCCGTGAGATCGGTTGTGAGACAGGCCGCGTTTTTGTCCGACAAGTCCACTTCACTCTCTATTTTGTTAGCAAAGCTGAGCTAAAACTCTCTAATAACGCAAACGGAAAGCTTTATAGTTGTTAGGTGGCAATCGAATCCTAAGTGTCATGTATTATACGGTTTTATTTACGGTCGGCAAGTCGTGTGCAGTTTTTGGGGCCTCTTTTGCCTTTTTTTGTGAGCTAAATTGGCCTTTTTTCTTTTGGCTCCATCTGGCAACACTGGCACTTCTCCTGCCTCCTGGGAAGCGCGCTTAGCGCAGCCGCATATTCATTCCTATCATCCATGACTATATGGAAAGTCAGTTGCGTTCACGGCGAAAGCACGTGTGTTATTTGTGCTCTCTAAAGAACCGGTAAATTTATTGTCAAAGGAGATGCAATTGTATTTACTTAAAATAATAATTATTTAAAGTTTTATTCCTTATACCTAAACAGAACTGGCTTTCTCCCTCAGTCCCTCAGAGGTTTGCCAGTCTGCTTTGCTGAATTTGTTATTTTTACTTAATTTTTTTTACTTGATACTTGATAAGTTCAGTGTAAAAGGCCTTGCGGCCTGTTCACCACGCCTGGTTGGGGGGTTGCTTCTTGACTACTTGTCGCATGCGTCATGCGTGGCTAGCAGTTAGGTAGTCTAGAAATGCCAAAAGGGGAGCTAATGACAGCATTTGGGGTCGTACCGCTCTCTGCGTGTTGCCCAGTGCTTGTCGAGCTTGATCTTGAAGGCGTTAATAGAGGGGGCAGTGACGACGCTGTCCGGCAGGCTGTTCCATATTGACATGACTCTGTAGGAGAAGTAGCCGCTAGCCGGCTCTGACGTTCAGTCTGCAGCGGCCCTTGGCCAAGTTTCAGGCTGTTTTTGCGGGTATCTCTGCCGTCGTGAAGGTGCAGCTGGGGCCCTGGGGGCAGTCAGCTTCGTGGGCGCCGTGGACGTACTTGAAAGCGTCGATCATGTCCCCCCTTAGTCTTCTGTGCTCCAAGCTGGGTAGACCAAGCGACGAAGCGAGGTGAGGCGTTCTGGGTACGGCTTGTCCTTGAGGCTTGCAATAGGGCTAACTTGATAAGCTTGGTTGCCCTCCTCAGTCCTCTGAACAGACTGAACGTCCTCCAGGTCGGAGCACAGAGTCTTGTGCCTTGGCTGCCAGACTGAGTGGCCATACTCGAGCACTGGTCGAACGAGGGATTTGTAGAGCTGGATGAAGATCTCGGGCGTGATGTAGGCTAGGCTAGTCAAAGGTTTGCCTTATAACACCCGACCCAGTACTCTGTTTGCCTTAGCTGTTGCTTGCGCTCCTTGGCCTTTGAAGCTCAGCCTCAGGGCTCAGGTGTCGATCACTACTCATAGATCTCTTTTGGTGTCGCTTTCCTTCAGTGGGGTCACGTACTCTTCGCCTTGAGCATTGCAGCCTCTCATGGTGTACTGGACGCATAGTGGCAAAGCAGAAAGTTTTTTAGACTCTCCTTCAAATTCAATTTCAAGTCCTATAAGTAGACCAGAAAAGTATCATGGATACCACATACCAGCATCATCATACACAAGATATTGGCTGTAATGGCTTAAATCTTGGGTAAATGAGAAAATTAAAAATGAACTGATTCTAAAAAATCACTGGTTTGCCACTATGACTGGACGGTGTTGCTGGCGTATCCAAGGCAAAGCAGGTTGCACTTTTTGGGGTGGAAATGCAGCTGCCAGTCCATGGACCACTTGTGGAGTCTGTCCAGGTCCTCCTGCAGGGTTTTTCTTGCCTCTGGGATGTCACTGTGGGCAAAGACCTTTGTATCATCTGCAAATAGCTCGATGTGGCTCTGGACATGGCGTGGTAGATCGTTGATGTACATCACGAAGCAAATGGGCCCTAAACAGCTTCCCTGCGGAATACCGCTCCGTACATCTGCTGGACTTGACGACACGCCGTTCACGATGACTCGCTGAGTAGTGAGAACGGTTTGCCAAAAAATCTCTGACTCACTGGAGTACTCTCCCCTTGATGCCATGAGCCTCCACCTTCGCTACAAGTTGTCTGTGCGGCACACTGTCAAACGCTTTCATGTAGTCCATGTAGACCGCGTCGATGGATCCTCCTTTGTCTAGGGCCTCAGTCCAGATGTCTAGGGTCTCAAGGAGCTGAGTGACACAAGACCGCCCCTTGGTGAAGCCGTGCTGCTTTCTGCTGATCAGGCTGTTGCGCTGCAGGTGGTCGACGATCTGCTCCTTGACGAGGGCCTCCATGCACTTGCATAAAATGCAGGTCAAACTGATGGGCCTGTAGTTGCTGGCTAGAAGGCAACTGCCCTTTTTGAAGATGGGGGTCACGTTGGCGGTTCTCCAGTCTCCGGCTATGGTGCCGGACTCCAGGGACTTCCTAAAGATGATGGCGATGGGCTTGGCAATAGGTTCAGCAAGTTCAGCAAGCAGATGGGGGCTGATGCCATCAGGGCCTGGGGCTTTGTCCTTCTTCAAGCTCG